TAGTCGCCCCCACGCTCGGCTTCTCCACATCTCGGTAATGGCAGTCTGAGAGTGGGATTATAGTGGTTGTGTATAGTGAAATTAGAGTGGATTATGGCATTATAAGGGACCAAACAACGTCTCTCGGCCGAACTGCGATGTCAAGGTACAAAAGGCTGGTCACATCATGCCTGCATTATCGAATCATTTCTCCCTCCTTTAAAACACAACTCAATTATAATCTCACATAATTCTCCACAATGCGGCCAGTCCTCCGGGTCTCACGAGCACTACCGGCTCAGGTTTCTCGCCCCCAGATATCACGCACCATTCTAGCTCGCGGTGCTAGATTGAACAGTTCCGATGCCGGAAAAACAGAGAACACAAAAGAGGGCAATTCCTCATCTACAAACGCTCCCCCTTCACCCTTTTGGACTCCAGCCAAGGCTCTACTTGTCTCCGCATTTGCTGCGGGGTTAGGCTACGGCGTCTCCTCATATACCCAGACACCGGCACAGACATCCAAGAAGCCACAGTATGGCTCAGCCAAGGACTTTGAAAAGGTAGATCCCTCAATTGCGGCATAATCTCACCCCAGTCCCGAGCTATCCATACTAACAATACTCCCAGGCCATCAACGAGCTAAGAACCAAGCTCGGCGAAGACACAGTCAGCACCGAAGAAGACGAACTCCAGCAACACGGCTTCTCAGAATGGTCCAGCCTAAACGCCGACCGTCTCCCGGTCGCAATCGCATACCCCAAGAATACCCAAGAAGTTTCCGAGATCGCTAAGGTATGCAACAAATACCGCATGCCCATGATCCCCTACTCCGGCGGATCGAGTCTGGAAGCCAATTTCTCCGCCCCGCACGGCGGCATGACAATCGACTTCGCCTTCATGAACAAAGTCCTAGAAATCCACCCCGATGACATGGACATCGTCGTGCAGCCCTCCATCCAATGGATGGATCTGAATGAACAGATCAAGGAAACAGGCATGTTCTTCCCCGTCGACCCAGGCCCATCCGCCATGATCGGCGGTATGGTCGGCACAAACTGCAGTGGCACCAACGCCGTCCGCTACGGTACCATGAAAGACTGGGTGATTAACCTCACGGTCGTCCTGGCCGATGGCCGCATCATCAAAACCCGCAGACGTCCCCGCAAGACTTCCGCCGGTTACAATCTCACGGGCATGTTTGTTGGCTCCGAGGGTACTCTCGGTATCGTCACTGAGGCTACTTTGAAGCTCGCCCCGCTCCCAGAGCAGACTCGCGTTGGCGTCGTTTCGTTCCCGACTATTCGTGATGCGGCCTCGACCGCTATGCAGGTCATTAAGAAGGGTGTCTCTGTGCAGTGCATGGAGATCATGGATGATGTTCAGATGGACGTTATCAATCGCGCGGGTGGAACCGGCCGTGAATGGAAGGTCTCTCCTACGCTGTTCTTCAAGTTCTCCGGAACTGTCGCCGGTGTTGCGGATAGTATTGATCTGACGACAAAGCTCGCCCAAAGTAACAATGCGCAGTCTTTTGAATTCGCTCGTGATGACCGCGAAGCTCATGATCTGTGGTCGGCGCGCAAGCAGTCACTGTGGAGTATGCTGGCGTTGCGCAAGGAGGGATCAGAGGTCTGGTCGACTGATGTGGCTGTGCCCATTTCTCGACTGCCTGATATCATTGGTATGACCTCTTCAAAACTTATTCCGTTTCAGGTATACTGACTCCCGCCAGAAACCTCTAAGAAAGAATTAGTTGAGCTAGGCCTTTTCGCCAGTATCCTTGGTCACATTGGCGATGGAAACTTCCATGCTAGCATTATGTATGACCGCACCAACCCCGACGAGCGGGAGCGGGTCGAGAAAGTAGTGTACGACATGGTTGATCGTGGGTTGGAAATGGAGGGCTCATGCACAGTAAGTCGTTCCTCTTGGAGATACCAGAATATCAGCTAATGCAGCACTATAGGGCGAACACGGCATTGGGCTGGGCAAGAAAGGATCCTTGAAGAAGGAAGTCGGACCGGACACAATTAATGTCATGCGCAGTATCAAGCGTTCATTGGATCCGAACTGGCTGCTGAACCCTGGCAAGATCTTCGACTACGACGACGTAACACCGGGCCCGGGACATTGATTGTAATTTAGCATTTAGCATTTAGCATTTTATACATTATAGAAGAAGAGACCTCTAGGCCTTCTAGTGAGATGGTGTAAATACTTGAATTATATTGTTATCACAGCCACCAAACCAAGGGCCCACAGTCGATGAATCTGCAGATTTAATTCCGTTAAACTGCCTAAGTGGTACATGCATCTTAGTTCTTCTCAGTTTATTGTTCTAAAGGTGATGCTTGTTCAGAGCCCAGGACCTGAAAATATCGCTCGAAGAGAGTCGCACTCCACTGACAGCCAGTGCCTGAGCTCGGTATGTCTGTAGGTTCAGTGGCTGGTTCCATGTGAGATGAACTGTCGATAGCTGTGGGGGCCGCCGCAGCAGCATTCGCCAACGCCCACATTCGAGGAAGATGTTCTTGGGCTTCTGGTTGAATGGTTGGTATCTGAGAACGGCAGTTCGGGGCTATGGGTTCCAACTCGCCTGGGGAAGAACGGGAAGAACTAATATCGTCTTCTCTATGGCGCTTTAATGTCCCCAGACCAAGCTGCTGTGGTGATTCTGTGTCTATGGTGTTTGGTTCTTCAAATCCGCTGTCATCATCTGGCGAAGCCCCCCATTGGGATGGGTTAATCTGAACCATGTCCCGAGAAAATAGAGCCTTGGTGCGGAGCTCTTCAATGTTCTCCCAGTGGTGATCACATCGGGCATCACCGTCCATCTTCAGGTGTTCGTATGTCTCATTGACAGCTTGCCATGCCAAATCCAGCGCCTCTCCTTTCGGGGCCAGAGAAAGGTTGATGAGTAGGCATGTCAAAGCATCCCATTCGATGTGGTTCTCGAGATTCCAGAGCCATTGACTGCCCTTTTTATGGTGTTTCAAGGCCGCAGTGCCCTGTAGAATCTCTATGCAAACCTTTCGGAAGTTAACATGCATGAGCATAGACTGATCTTGTCTTGCTCGGGGTTTAATCACTGCCAGTTTGAGCTTTGCGAGTATCAGATTGCAGGAGACAGTTGTGAAATAGTCTAACGGAATACTTTGATCTAGATGCGATAGATATTGCTGTTTCACTTTCTCCTTGAAGAGATCTATCGTAGTGCATTTCTGAGAAGCTGATAGAACCGGGTAGCAGTTCTCTTCGCAAAACTGGTCAGAGAAGATAGTTCGGCGGGCAAAATTGCTGATCTCAGATCTTGTGAGGCTCAACACCATCTCTGTTTTCCCGCTGCAGTTTCGAGGTGGGTGTTTCATATCAGGGTCAAGACTTGCATCAGTCACATTGGAAGGGAGTCTTGTATTGAACCATGACTCCAGAATACGCGGATTTGTGCCACAGTCCTCTGCGATGTTTATATCGAGAATATAGATCTGCCACCAGAGTCGACGCCGCATTTCGACTTCAAAGGGTGATATTTCTGAAGCGGATGCATCGCGATGCAGGCCGATATTGAGGGCAATTCCAATGGCATTCCCAAGAAACTTGCCAATGTCTGACCCTTTATTGTAATTCCTGCTGCAAACCTAAAGCAATTGTCAGATAGCATCAGGCCTCTTCTTTCAATTGTCACGTACTATGTATATGACAAAGGCTTGCAGGACAGTAATGTCCGATGACTTCAATAGATCGGCTTTTGCGAGGCCGCTTTCAACTCCGATGCGATATCTTGAAATATTAGCAGAATGACTTATAGCTTTAAACCATGTACATACCTATTCAGTACTTCGTGCTTTTCTTCATCAAGCTCTACCCGACAATCTTCCATAGTCATTGTTGCCATAGCAGCATAGCAAATTGCGGATATCAAACACTCCGTAGGTGATCCAAGGGTCTCTCGAAACTGTGTGTTATTCAATATCTGTCTTTGGACCGTTGGTGTATGTAGAATTTTGAGAATTGGCTCCACATTCTCTAAGTACTTCTGCCACAGGAAAGACACTAGAACTCGGGGAGGCCAACGATATTCGACTACAGCAGTCGGGAGAGATTTGAATAAGGATAGACTTTGATTCAGACTTCCATCATCTCTGCGGCTTTCGTCAGGCTGATACACTGGGTCACGGCCATGGCTTCCGCCAACAGACGGCGATGAAGACTGAGTTTGCAAAAGCCCTTGGAGTTGAGAGACACTTTGCTCAAAAGAATCCAATGTACGTTCAATTCTTTCGATACGGTCTACCATATCATCGCCGGGGTTATTGCTCCCAGTTATGGTAGGTTCAGCTTTTTGTATTGGGTAGCTGCATTGTATCTTGACTTTGACGCAGTACGAGCAAGGTAGGGACCTGTCACATTTGATTTTGCGTCGGCGACACTCAAGACAAGAGCGTACTGTGGTGCTAGGTGGATGGAGCATTAATTTGAACTTTCGCTCAGAATTAACTGCACATGAATAAGGAGTCGGGATTATTCTCGGAGTCGGGATTGTGCTCGGAGTCATCATAACGACTCCAGTCTGAAATTTCGAGGCTGCAAGTCAAGACAACATAAGCAACTTGAAGTTGATGATGCGAGGCTGCGAGCTGATTGGTTGGAGCGGAGCGGCGGAGGCCCCAGTCCGCATTTCTAAGCGTCAGCTGCCGCGGCCCACCTGAGCAGACACTTCGGAGACGGAGTAGATCACATCATTGTGTTATTTCTCTTAGAAAACTTGCCTGATAATAATTATTAGTATAGTTTAATTGGTTAAGGCGGGGCAGCGGCCAGGGAGTCCGTATTATTGTACTAGGTAGTATTTACATAGACATTCCGTGATATGAAGTCAGCATCAATAGAGCGAAACAGTGCAGGACTAAAACATATAAAGATGTCCTTCCATCCTTGATGTTGAGCATTTCTCAAGCACGAAAGCACAAGTATCTCTATCCAAGATCAATACTTCATCTACAGCACAACAGCCCAAAATGGCATCCTATATGAAGAACGTTGCAATCATTGGCGTACGTCAATTCCATCCTCAAAACATACATATCACCCCAGCTGACAACCTAGTAGGCTAGCGGTAGCATCGGAAAGATCATTCTCGATGGCCTTGTTGTATCTTCCCAGTTCAAAATTACTGTCATCTCCCGCAAGGAGAGTGAGGCAACTTTCCCACCTGACGTGGCTGTTCTCAAGACCGACTACTCAGACAAAAGTCTTGAGGCTGCATTCAAAGGCAAAGACGTCGTCATTTCGGCGGTGGGTGCCACGGGATTCGGAGAACAGAAGAAGTTTGTCGATGCAGCCATCCACGCAGGTGTCAAGCGTTTTATCCCATCTGAGTTCTCAGTCAACAGCCAGAACGATGCTGTGTTACAATTGCTGCCCTTGTTCAAACAGAAGAAGGAACTCATCGAGTACCTCAAGAGTAAGGAGACCGATGGGTTGTCCTGGACTGGTATTGCTACTTCCGGCTTGTTTGACTGGGTAAGTCTTCTATTGTGAATTGGAATTCTTGATCGTGAGCTAATCAATGAGTTTTAAACAGGGTCTTGCAAATGGATTTTTGGAATTTGACATTGCCAGCCATACGGCTACTATCTGGGACGAGGGCAACAAGAGTTTCACCTTGACCAATCAGAAGGCCCTCGGCGAGGCTGTTGCTTCTGTCCTGGTGCATCCTGATGAAACTAGAAATCAGTTTCTATTCGTCGCCTCGGTTGAAACCACTCAGAAGGACATCCTTGTTGCTTTGGAGGAGGAGTCAGGGGTGAAATGGACGGTGAATAAGACTACCACCGACGTTCAAGTCACCGAGGCAGTCAAGAAACTTGCTGCTGGGGACTTTAGTGGTGCTTTTTCTCTGGTTCGAGCAACTGTCTATGGCAACACTCCGGGTCTGCATTCAAACTATGCCAAAGAGGAGAAGCTGGGAAACGATGTGTTGGGACTTCAATTGGAAACCGTCAGCAATGTCGTCAAGCATGTGCTTAATAAATAGGTCAACTTTCGAGTGACGTTGTCTTTTGACATGTTTTCTCATGATTACCATAGGAAGAAATAATGCAAACAAGACAAATCCCGGGACATTAAACTTTGACTAAAGACCCACATATTCTGGCCAATCGGGGAGTATAAATTTTGTCCGAACGCAGAACACTGACTAGTCTGACTAATCGCGGGGCAAGGCAATTGGCTGAGAGCGATATCGCTGTCGTGGTGAAATGTTGCAAGCCTTCAACCACATCACCAGCGAAGCAGTAAGTACAGTTGTGTTTCATATTGATATTTTGCTATGAAAGGTTGCTGCTATTCTAAGCCATGTGATCTGTGAAGCATTGAAGCTGGCAGAGCCTCCTATATACTGCATGCGGGGCTCTCGAAACGCTTTGACTCATACAGGCCTCTGGTAGTATGTGAACCAATTCAGCATAGAGCCGTTGTTATTTTTGTATATCTTTTGATTGAGCACGAGTTTTGACTTATTGGAACTTTTGGTTTGCTAACTTACACAAGATTGATACCCGTTTTCATATAAAACCCAAAAGCAAAATGGCTGCTGCATTCCCGAAGAAGAAGTGCGGTACGTTCTTGAAAATTTCAAGATATCCCATCCATCTCTCAATCCTAACATTTTACAGGTGTTCTCGGTGCCACTGGTTCGGTGGGCCAGCGCTTTATCCTATTGCTGGCAGACCACCCCTTCCTTGAGCTTCACGCCGTCGGTGCTTCTGAGCGTTCAGCCAACAAGAAGTACAAGGATGCCGTGAACTGGAAGCAGGCTTCTCCCATGTCTGAGAAGCTCAGTAACTTGGTCATGCGTGACTGCAAGCCCGAGCATTTCTCGGATTGTGACCTTGTCTTCTCTGGACTGAACAGCGATGTTGCTGGCGAGACTGGTATGTGGTATCAGATGTATCAAATTTAACAAACTAGATGATGTACTGACATTTCACGCAGAAATGGCATTCATTAAGGCTGAGATCCCTGTGTTCTCAAACGCAAAGAACTTCCGCAAGGACCCCATTGTTCCTTTGGTGGTTCCTACTGTGAACCCCCAACATTTGGATCTGATTCCTCACCAGCGTGAGAAGTACGGTCTGAAGAAGGGCTTCCTGGTCTGCAACTCTAACTGTGCCGTCATTGGCATCGTCATTCCCTTCGCGGCTCTCCAGGCTAAGTTCGGCCCTGTTGAGGAAGTTGAAGTTTTCACCGAGCAGGCTGTCTCTGGAGCCGGCTACCCCGGTGTACCTACCATGGACATCCTTGACAACGTCATTCCCTACATCAGTGGAGAGGAGGACAAGCTCGAGAACGAAGCCCAAAAGATTCTGGGTTCATTGAATGCCAGCGCCACCGGTTTCGACGAACAGACTGGTCTCCGCATCGGCGCCACTTGCACCCGTGTTGGTGTTACTGACGGCCACATGGCCTTCGTTTCCTTGCGCTTCAAGAACCGCCAGACCCCCACCGCTGAGCAGGTCAAGGAGGCTCTACGGGAGTACAAGTCCGAAGCACAGAAGTTGGGTGCTCCTTCCGCACCAGAGCCCGCTATTAAGGTGTTCGACGCGCCCGACCGTCCCCAGCCCCGCCTGGACCGTAACATTTCCGGTGGATACACAGTGAGTGTTGGCCGTGTTCGTGAGGGTGCCCCAGGCGGTCACTTTGATATCCGATTCGCTGCCCTCTCTCACAACACCGTCATTGGAGCCGCTGGATCATCCATCCTCAACGCCGAGGTTGCAGTTATCAAGGGCTACATTTAAGCTAGTTACGAAAAGTGGAATTATCAGCGCATGTCAAATAGATACAAGTTCGTACAAATGAATTAGATCTCATTGGTCTTGATTCCTAAAAGGGAAGTTCACGTGTCCACGGGTGGATCAGGGCCCCAAATGTAGATGACATAAGCAAGTGTTAAAAAATCCACTAGTGGAGTCTGATTGGTCTGGGTGGAGAATAGGGCTCACAATCACCACACACTAAGCGAATTCCTCTCTGATTTGGATCACCAACTTCGCGGCTTGAGCCTTCTCTTTCGACACTCCGACCACCTAACCTTCAGTCGACAAATCAGTCAAAATGCGCGGCCCGTAAGTGTCATGAGATCGCTCTCTACATCACTATTCTGCACACTGGCCTCGTCTATCTCCCGGATTGCGAGTTCAGCCAGTCGCTGCGAGAGTGATAGAAAATTTCTTGACTTGGAACACCATCACTAACAAGGATGTTTCTTACAGCGGAAAGCACCAGAAGCGCCTCAGTGCGCCCTCGCACTGGCTCTTGGACAAAATGTCCGGAACCTACGCGCCCAAGGCCTCCCCCGGTCCCCACAAGCTCCGGGACTGCCTTCCCCTGATTGTCTTCATCCGTAACCGGTACGCACGCGACATCCTGAATTCCTCAGCACAGGACGAACAACAACTGACATTTCTTTCGTTGATAGTCTCAAGTACGCCCTGAACGGTCGCGAGGTCAAGGCCATCATGATGCAGCGTCTGGTCAAGGTCGACGGCAAGGTCCGCACCGACACCACCTACCCCGCTGGATTCATGGACGTCATCTCTCTCGAGAAGACCGGCGAGCACTTCCGTCTCATCTACGACACCAAGGGTCGCTTCACCGTCCACCGCATCCAGGCTGAGGAGGCTGAGTACAAGCTCTGCAAGGTCAAGCGTGTTCAGCTCGGCAAGGGCGGGATCCCATTCTTGGTTACGCACGATGCGCGAACGTGAGTTCCACACTCCACAAGTTCCGTGTCATTCAGTCGTTGGACCAAGCTTTGGTTGATCGGCGGAGGACAATGGAAACAGTAAGATCCCATTTGATCAGAACATGGTTTTGCTAACTTGCGTTTGCGCTCTACAGCATCCGCTACCCCGACCCTGCCATCAAGGTCAACGACACCGTCAAGGTTGACGTTGCCACTGGCAAGATCCTCGACTTCGTCAAGTTCGACTCCGGTGTTGTCATCATGGCCACTGGTGGTCGCAACATGGGTCGTGTTGGTGTCATCACTCACCGTGAGCGTCACGATGGTGGTTTCAACATCGTCCACGTTCGCGATGCTCTTGACAACCAGTTCGCTACCCGTGAGTCCAACGTCTTCGTCATTGGACAGGACAAGCCCTGGGTTTCCCTCCCCAAGGGTAAGGGTGTCAAGGTACGTTATATTCTCCCCAACACTGATGTCTATGGATTATACTAACATTCTTTCTAGCTCTCCATTGCTGAGGAGCGTGACCGCCGCCGTGCCCACGAGCTCGCCAACTAAATTCACAATATCTTCTGATATTCGTGGATTAGCTGACAGCTTAAAACAAACACTAAAAACAGTAGCTGGGAAACGGCGTCTTGTCTTGCTTAACAGGCTTGGATAATGCATTCTCGTAGGTTCGAACCATAGCAAACAAAACAGAAACGGGTTAACCGCTTCGTTTCCGAGTGATATGATACCATTTGACGTTACCTCTTTTTCAATTATTTAATGAGCGTATTTTGACTTTACTTCCCTTGGTCTTCAACACTACCACTTCCTGGATGATTAGCTCTTATATCGTGCTTGTGGTTCCGCAATCATCCCAGGGATACCTTTATACACTCCGCGAAGATCAGGGGAATGGTAGTCTTTTTTTCCTTTGGTAATATACACAACGTAGTGAAGATGCGAATGCCTCGCAACCCCCAGATCCTACTAAGACTCGAACCCCGTTACCACCAATCAAGCTCGCCTTCTAGACCCAGAGCTACTGCACACTAAAGCCCCGGATGAACCCGCCCAAGCAGTTTCAAGCTGAGACCAAGCATCTCAACAGCAGAAAAGATGATCCAAGACATGCATCATCCCGCTCCAAAATATATTGCCTACACGCTCATCTCCGGTGCGACCCTGGTAGCTCAAATGGATCAATCCATAGAACCAGCGCGACCAGCGCACCACCGCACCTCGGCTTATCCGATGCAACTGTCCTCCCGTGTCGGTGTACATAGTAGTACCCGTGGCCACCGCACGGGGAAAGCGGAGATTACAAGGTTTCCAGCCCACAATCCTGAAGAAGATAGTGATTAGAGTAACAAACTCAAGTGCGGATCTTCTCGGCCGATGTTCTAATTCGGCAGGCTTTCGTATTATCATTATTAGCGTACTGGTACTGACTTATACCCAAGCAACCCGAGTCGCCCGCTATAGGAGAAAGATCATCACCTGCAGAGGTCAGCAATGGCGATCAATGGCGATCACGGTGGTGCCAGAGGTATCACGGCCCAATCGATGTGCGTCGATCCGGGATATTTGAATGGGCCAAGAATGGGGATTGATATTCACATGCTGTGTAATGAAAATCGAGGTGTGTCCGGCAGATGGAGCTAGCTCATGCGATGCAACAGCAAAAAGTGTCCGATGTGGGGTTATTGCAGATTTGCTTTACCGCTGGCCGTGAGCACTTGGTCTTTTACTTGCTTATTCCGTACTGCATGTGTGTGTGTGTGTATATATATAGGGATCGTGTGGGTGCTTGACAGAGCTATTTGTGGTGGAAATTAGGTACATATATATATTTACAGTTCGGGTTAAAACTGGGTATATAAGCGAGCCTATGCAAAACAAGCAGGAAGACCGAGAGCGAGAGGCTAGGTATCTAAGAATAACTTATTTATCTCCGGTGTCGGATTGGGGAGGCAACCTCTCATTCTCTATCGGGATCGCCGTTCTTAAAAGTTGAGCGGCTCTAGGGAGAGCAATGGCTTTATAGAATCGGCGTTTGCTCAGTTCAATCTAAATGCACTTACCACACCCTCCCGAGCAATCACGGGGAAGACAGCAAGGGATGGACGAACCAACCGAGTGGCACGTCCAGTCTTTGGAAGTATATTTTCTCTCTTTTTCTCCGACGGGCTATCATGGGTGGCGGCCGTGCCAATGGAGTGGAACAGGATAATCTGATAGATCCAAACTCAATTCTAGCACTCGTCCCACGTTCGGAACTCCACTGGGGATTCTGGGGATAAGATCTCCGTGTTCCAAGCGCCATACTGCTGGAAATGCTGGAAATATGCACGACAGCATGGGGCCATATAATTCCTGACCCGTCATTTTATGCAGTGCGGAGAGAGGTGAACTGGCCTTTGCAGGGGTTAGTAGTGGTAAAATATCTAAAAAGGGAAAGACAAGGTCGAGGTAGTAATGAAGTGGCAAGGGGGGATCTTGCCTTGATGCCATTGTATCGCTTCATGCTGCATTCTAGGTGGCTGGCTGCACTGGCCGACATATTAACCTGTATCCTGGGAATTTGGAATCTGGGCTACACGAGACGCACAACTGAGTATATCTATCTGGGGGATGCAGAACAATGCAGTTGTGGGTTAATTCTTAAGCGGGACCCCCTGAGACCCAGGGTGTTGTGTACTTTTGTTCGAATGCACAATCGATCAATCGAGCTCGTATGAGGCGCCGGCGATCTAAGGCGACAGAAGTGGGGATTCGGTGTAAGTCCAAGCTGCATACGGAGTAGGAAGAGGCCAGATATTGCGCCTTCCAAATTGAAGCGAGTCATGGGGTTTTTCTTTTTCTTATGTGTCGGAAATGCAAATGCTGGGCCTAGAACTTGTTGGTAGCGGCTCACTATAATCTCCGCATATTGAGGCTGCACTTCGAATTATCATAAATGGTACCCCTAGGAGATAATTAAGATATCAAGTTACGAAAACTCAAGAAATATCGCCTTTTATGAGATGATTATCCCTCCGCACAAACTTTGGAACGCGTGGATCTAACCGCGATCCGTCCCAGTCCCAAGGGACTGGGTCTGAGGAGAGAATCTGGATGGAATTTCACGTGGTGGAGTTCGAAAATGATTGGACTGGAGAATGTACCCATCGTAGAATTACTTACATTGTACTTCAACGCCTGCTATGCGGTGGATATTGGTTCGCACGCCATCGGCATTCGAAATGTCGGTGGAAGGATTCAAAGAACATGAATTGGAAATATGTGCCAATCCTTTGGGCTTAAGATGTTGGACATCAAACCTTGGAGGCGTCGGTCTAGCGGTGTACTAGTAAAAGTAAGGCTAAGAATCTCGCACGGGTCGAGGGTGGTATTGTTGGAAGCATAATCTTGTTTTTATTTTAATTTTAATTTTTAATTGAGCTATAAGGGTATAATGATACAATAATGATATAATAATGGTGGCTATCCTATCATGTTAGGTCACAAGGTTCAATACTTGTTCCTGATCGCCCTCTCGATTGGAAATTTGCCTAGAACTCGGTATTTGATGCTTATATGGTCTACTTTCATAAAATCTAATTCTATAATTCTCGGATTGACGGGCAAACTAATAGCAGACTTCCATAAAATCCAACAAAGAAATAAACAATTATTCTAAAGTGTTCCAAAGTGTTCGATTCATATATTCCCTGCGGAAAAAAAACCCCCCAAAAACCAACATCCTTTGATCGTCAGTGACTCCACATTGGCATTTTACGGCCACTACGTTAGCGCCCATTTTTCTGGACTTGGTCTGGACCAATCAATCAGGTTTAGATAGTGGAGATAGACTACTCTGTACTCCGTACGCCGTACGTATCTGTCTCTCATATATCTCATACAGACAATATTACCTAGGTCCTTATCCACCATGGCTACTCCATAATTAGGCCCGATTTCGAAATTCCAGAATAATCTTCGTTTTAAGAAGGTTGACCGCTTCTCAACCGATTCCTTCAGGAACTAAACAGACTCTCTCTCCACTTGTCATATTGTTAA